CGCCGCGTCTACAGGAACCGGGTCGCTCAACATTGGCGCCGAAAACGACGACGACGACGACGACTTGGAGGAAGACGAGCCAATCACGATGAAGGCCATGCGGAAGATGTTCAAGAAACACCTTGAGCCCACGATGCGGGCAGTCCGGAGTCTTGGGAACGAGTTCAAACATCTTCAAGAAACTGTCAATACCGACATCTGCCATCTCAAAACAACCATGGAGGCAAACGTGGAGGAGAACAATATCCGTATCACAAACATGGAAAATGATATTGAACATATACATGATCACATTGACGGCCGCATCGAGGAGATTCGGAAAGAAATGGCAGCGCTGAAAACAAGTACCACACCGAGATCTACTGGGGCATCTTCGGCGACAGGTGCACATACCATATCGACACTCGTACTTGGAGGGCTACCACAAGATACGCTCGCCGATGCGGAAAAGTGGGTATCAAAGATATTGGAAGACGCTGGATGTACAAGCCCTTCGAAGATCTAGAAAAAAGGCCCCCCTGAAGAAGGTTCCAAGGGCATGTTATTCGTCGAACTGTCGTCTATAGAACTATCCCAACAAGTCTTGCCTATTCTTCAGGAAGCGTGTGGACGACAACACCCAAGGCAAGGATCCCGCCAGGTATGGTGCAACGTGGACGCTCCTATTGAGGAGATGACTACCACTTCATTGTTATTAGGCCTTCGTTACCTTCTCACGCAGTGGGGCTTCAACAAGAAGTATGTCAAGGTCGACGGGGACACTGGCGTCCTCAAAGCTGGGGGAAAACAGATACTTAAAGTACACGTTATCAACTATAAGCTAAACTTGGAATGGTTAGATACCGAATGGGAGGCATGGGAAGATCTTCAAACATCCCCAGACTGGCAAGAACTGCAAAAGAAAGCTTCTGATCGTTTGGAGGCGAGCGCGGCCAACGCGGCCAAAGGGGCCGGAAAAGGGAAAGCTAAGAATTGAAGGTGCCAAGGGCGCCGGGCTGTTTCACCTTCGGGGTCCGCTGACCCTGGGATTTCTCCACATCCGATTTCCCCCGCGGGCAGAATGGGCAAAGATACCATCCATCCTGTTGGGCCGCATCCTCATGAACACCATTCTTGACTACGGTGCGCTACGTGGAATGTACGTGGTTTGACACAGGAAAAGGTTTTGGAAAAAACAAAGCACATGGAGACATACAAAATACAGATTCTCTGCATGCAAGAACCACGAAAAACAAAAGCAGAAGACTACGTAGATGAGAACAGTGGCAGCCGCATCATTCTTTCTGGAGAAGATACAGATGCAACATCTTGGTCTGGAGTTGGCCTCATCATCTCTCCCAATCACGTGCCTCTGGTACGATCTTGCAAGCAGATCTCGGAAAGGATCATACAATTGAAAATCAAAATTGGTATTCGTATATTCGGGATCTTCGGCGTGTATGCACCCCACAACTTGAAGCCCTTGCCAGAGAGACGCATATTTTGGAATACTCTGGACACCGAGTTCCGGACGTGCTCAGCCACAGCCGGCAAGCTTATCATGGGGGACGTGAATGCACGAGTTGGGCATGCAGATGCTGGGGAATCGACGACAATAGGGCCATTCACTTGGGGTAGGCGGGCCTTACATCAAGTCGAAGTTCCCAATCGGGATTTGCTCATGGAGTTTTGCTTTGGCCTCGAACTAAGATTGGCAAATACCTATTTTGAGCGGCCTCTGGAAGACGCCGTTACCTTCATGGAGGCGGGCGCCAAACCACTGGGGCCTATTACCGAGGACAAGTACAACATTTTGGATTACATCATGTGCGATGCTCCCACCTTGGCCCAAATACGTAATTTGAAAACACACCGCGGCGCAGCACTGGCCACGGACCACTACTTGATGACAGTGGACATTCAGCACGCTCAGCATGGCGATCCATTGCCGCGCAAACCGCCTAGAGACAGAGATCTGCTTCGAGACCCCGCAGTGCAATTAATGTATGCAGAAGCATTTCTGGACGAGATTGTTGGCCACGCGAGTCCCCAGAACGTGGACGCTTTGTGGGAGCAGGGTGCACATGCAGCGCTAGCAGCCGCCACTGTTTTACCACGCCGCCAGGAAGAAGTAAAACGGCCATGGGTATCTCAACGCACATTGGCACTGATACAACAAAGAAGCGAAGCTCGTGCCAGTAACAATCGTCAAGAAGAGCGACGCTTCCTGAAAGAAGTAAGGCGATCTTGCAAAATCGATAAGACAGAGTGGATGGACTCAAACATAGCATCGGGGCGCTGGGACGATATTCGGAGATTTTGCCGACCACGACAACATAAGCAGGGCAGGCTTCAAAACTTACAGGGGCAATTGGTGGCAAGCCATGAGCGCGCAGATACCATGGCAACTTATTTGGAGCAAGTACAATGGAAAGTACGGCCGGCAAATTTGGTTGACAACGAGGCCTTGGGACCGCCACTTCCCGTCGACGAATCGGCTTTCACCGTGCAGGAAGTGGGGAAAGCAGTGCGGAAACTCAAATGGGGAAAGGCAGAAGGACCGGACGACATTCCCGCAGAATATTGGAAAGCCATATCACAAACACCTGGCGGGCTAAAATGGGTTACAGAATTATGCAATTCAACATGGGCGGAGCACAGAGTTCCCGAAGCATGGCGGCATGCCGCTGTGAGCACAATCTACAAGAACAAGGGCCCTATCCACATGTGTGAAAATTACCGGCCAATTAGTTTACTATGCGTGGCGTACAAACTCCTGGCCAACCTCCTACTACAACGTCTACGACAGGCAGGGGCAGAAGACCGGCTGACCCAAACTCAATGCGGGTTCCGCCGTGGGCGTGGTACAACAGACGCCGTTCACGCAGTACGCCGTCATATCGAGCTCGCGCACGCCAGGAAAGATGGTGGGACTACATTTGTTGCCCTGGACTGGAAAAAAGCATTTGATTCCATAAACGTCGAAGCATTGTTGACAGCCCTGGGCCGCTTTGGGGTACCTCTGAACATGCTCACGCTGATTGGAAATATTTATGAGGCCAGGCGATTTTGCGTAGCCGACGGGGCCATCAAATCTTCTGAAAGAAAACAAATGTCTGGAATATCACAGGGGTGTCCGTTGTCGCCTTTTCTTTTCGTCATGTTGATGACTGTGGTCCTGCGAGACGCCGTGAACAACCTGAGCGACAATGACAAGTTCGATATGGTTTCTGGAAGTCTTTCGGTGCTGCTGTTTGCCGACGACACGCTGCTTATCGGAAGAAGCCAAGCCAGCTTACAAAACCTCCTAGACAACATCGCTTTGGCGGGGGTGCGGGTTGGAATGGAGCTGCACTGGGACAAATTCCAGATGATCAAGATAAACAGCGACGTGACGTTGAGGACGCCGGCGGGGCAACTCATTGCCGAAAAACGAAGCATGACATATTTGGGTGCTACTTTGTACAATAATGGGCAGTTGGGTACCGAGCTAAACAAAAGAATAGGGGCAGCTTGGGCCGAATTTTCCAAGTATGACAGAGCATGGAAACACACTGCTTTGAGCAACAAGCGAAAACTGGATTTATTCCAAGCACTGGTCACATCCAAAATCATGTACTCACTAAACACGGCGTGGTTAAACAAAGCAGAAAGGCGAAGGCTGGATGGATTTCAAGCAAGATGCCTGCGACGAATACTACATATACCTCCCGCCTTTATTACGCGAGTACCGAATAGCAAAGTTCCGGAACAAGCTGGCCAAAAGCAGTACAGCGCGCAACTTCTTCAACAGCAAATATTACTATTTGGCAAAATTGGCCGGGCTCCAGATGCAGACTTTCTTCGGCAACTTACTTTTCAGCCCTGCACTGTTCTTTCAGCCGTGGATGCATGCCCGAGGAGGAGAGGCAGGCCCAAACACGAATGGGCGAAATGCCTACACAAGGCTTTGGTTGCTCATCTTGGCCCGGAACATACTTGGGCGCAGCGCCTGCAGAACCCCATCGAATGGCGAAGTATTTCTGAACACATTGCACACCATGATGATGAACCCGATCGCCAGTAGCATTATGCAGCTTGGACATACCTTGCATGTGATGCCCAGTGCCTTGGCGTCCTTTCTGCAGCCTTCGGCCGGATACGTTCCAAGCGAAGTCCGTATCATTCGCCGGCCGTTTGTCTTCCCTCTTTCCTCCTGCTCCTCCTCCTCCTCCTGCTGCCGCGCACGTTGTGTTTTATGCGACCGCCGTAGTGCCGCCGCTCCCGCAAAGCGGTGAGAATCGGCTGGCCTTGTCTTGTCTTCTTTCGCCCACGCGCTCCGGCGTATGGCATGAGTGAGTGAGTGAGTGAGTGTTCGTAGGAAGAGGAGGAGAAACAGGAAGAGGACAAGGAGGAGGAGGAGGAGGAGGAGGACGGAAGGAGGAAGCAACTATTTCAAATCGTCGTAGTCGTCGGCGTCTCTCTCGGCCTCGTTTTCCACGTGGTTTCGCTGACACTCGGATATTGAAAAAAGGACCCTGTCTTCTACCGAAATTTGCCATCACTATGAGATGCACATGTGGGGACATTTTTTTTCTCTTGGCGACCTTCGCGGTGAACCACTCGCCCTCCAGGCGGCCGTTGTTCCCCGAAGCACTGGCGACAAATAGATCGACGGGCTCGCGTACCCCAGAAATAAGGAAAGTGCGCTAGAAAAGCGACCCCAATCAGCACGCGACCCCAATCAGCGCGGCATGGGGGGGAGAGGAGGAGGAGGAGGAGGAGGAGGAAGGAGGCAGGGGAAGAGGAAAGGCTGACTGATACAAACATGCCGCAGATACGTATCATCTGGGCCCGCGTACTGCGCGACGAGACAATAGATCGCACCACGGTGGGGGATCCAAGTTGTGGACCGCAGAAGAGTAGCATGCACAGTTTTGACTCCAAGGGGGTGGCGGGGAGGAGGAAGAGGAGGAGGAGGGGGAGGATGACAGAGCAGAGGCACCCGAAGGTCACCGGGGACGTCTCCAGCGCCGCAGGTC